TTAAGCTCTTGCATAATTATGGGGAGCAAACCATATTCAAACCACAGCAAAAAGGGACTATTTTTATTTTCTTTTACTTAGGTCCATAATAAATATAGCATTTTATAAAATTTGCAGTTTTAGAGCAGTCTAAGAATGTCATCCTTTAAGCTTGATTTTAAATGAAAATAGCAAAGAGAATATGCTCCAAGAATATTCATAGTGAATGGTTCCAAAGTGCTACGGTCTAAGTCACTCAGTATTAATAGGTACCAGTTGGTCTTGTGTTTCTTATTATCCACTGTGATTTGATAAACATGTAAGGAGATGAGACTGTAGAAGTAGTTGTGAACATCCCAAGGGGAACATGTGAATAGCAGACTGAAGAGGAAAGAGCAAAGTAATGAGAGGGAGGAGAGAAGCCAGGTGAATTTTATAATGATAAGCCAAGGAAGAATTGACTTCTTAGGGTGCCACCAGATGAAACCAGAAAGGAGTCAATTGAATTTTACACTAGAAGGTTATTGCTGACCTTTGTCAGAGCAGTTTCATTAAAGCATAGAGGTGGACTCCAGAATAAACTGGAAACCAGTGTATGAAAACAGTATGAACTGTGACGCCAGGTGAAAAGGATGAGAGAGGAGTGGCAACCAGCACAGAAAGCAGTAGTAGGAGGGGCTCTCCTCGAGATAACAAAGAAATTATGTGTATTTATAGACTGCAGGAAGAAACCAGTAGATAAAGAATGGTTAAAAGTATAGAAGAACAATAAGAGGCAATGAAACAGGATCCTAGGAAAGCTTACTGGAGATTGAACTGAGAGCAAAAGGTTCTTCTGTTATTGGAGAAGAGAAGATAAATAAGGTCAAATATAGGTACCTTTACAGTATACAGGCGCAGCACAAAGTTTGATATTTACAGATTTTTTTTCAGGCATGGTAGCACATGCCTGTAATCCCAGCTATTGGGAGACTGAGACTGTAGAATCACAAGTTCAAGACTAGCTTCAGCAACTTAGCTTGCTGTCTCAATTGCATTAGTTCAGTGATAGAGCTAGACCCAGTGCCAGTGCAGCTTAGTGGCAGAGCACCTTTCTAGCATGTGAGAGACTCTGGGCTCAATCCCCAGCACCACACACACCAAAAGAAAATACAAGGTGAAATGATATGCTACTAAAAAACATTACTCTTAATAATTACATTAGCATTTTTGAGAACATATTTATGCTCTGAACATAATTAACTCAGAAAACAGTATTGTTTAATACAACTCTATTTCTAAAGGTATTGTCACTACTTCTTAATAAAAGGACACTGGAGCTTAACGAGTTAAATCTGGCACAGAGAAATTTAGAAGGAGATCTTTGAACATAGTGGTTTTAACTCCAGATACTGGAGCTCTTAACCACACTTGTGGTGAATTAGGGTGTTGTGGAAATCGGAGAGATGATCATGGATGTGTAGAAGAATTACCAGTTGGCACTGAGTGCAGCGCAAGCTGGAACCCCACGTGTTGCTAGGAAGTCTGCACAGTTGTTCATTACCTCTCCCAGCAGTTCACATAGGGGAGAATCAGGGTGGAGTTTTCCAGGTTTAGACTGGATAGATGAGAATATTAAGGCCTGTCCTAGCCGAAATTCCTGAATTCTAAGTATGAATGGAAGACTCTGAGATTCCAAACAAAAAGGAAGGGATAAGAAAGGGAAAATAAGAATCAGAGCAGCATTGGCCTTCTGTAAAATTGGAAGCTAGATGAAATAGAATAGCATCTCCAGACTATATGTGACATGAGTAGCAAGGATTGCAAGCACGAGTTCCATGCACAATTCTGTCCTGTCAGAGAAAATGAAAGATTTGAGAAGATTGAAAAGCACATTACCCACCTGAAGCAAATACTTGAGAGAAGAGAAGATAATAAGGGATTAGAATGGAGATGTCAGAATGGAAAAAAGAAAGTAAGCAGATGAGCAGGAAACATGGACACAATTAAATCTAGAAGAATAAGGGAATAGGAGAGACAGGGAATGTGTAATGTAAGTACAAAATAAGTCTTTTGAAACAAAGTGCATAATACAAGATAATTTTAGTAAGACTGCAGAACAAATGTACTAAACAGCTTTGGCAAACATTAGGATTAATGAGGAAGAGGGAGATGGGTCGAAAATGTCATTCAAAATCTATTTAGAAATGTGCAAGGAATAAAGAAATAGAGCATTTTTATGGGAGAGATTCTTTTCATCATATAAGATTAAGCACTGAACAGGATGAAGAATATTTTAAAATGATAACACATAGTTATGAGGAAAGTAATAATTATAAACCCAAATGCACCAAAAAACATAGTAACTAAAGTGTAAAACAAGTGCTGTTCAAAACACAAGGAGAACTTGATGGGGGTAGAAAAGATGGTGGAATGAGATGGACATCATTACCCTAAGTACACGTATGAAAACACAAATGGTGTGACTCTGTGTATAACCAGAGACATGAAAAATTATGCTCTAATTGTGTAATGTGAGTTGAATTGCTTTCTGCTGTCATAACAAATTAGAATGCATAAAATTTTTAGAAAAGACATAAGGAGAACTTGAAATCCAACAGTAGACATGATCAGTATACTTGTATCAAGGGGTGAACTGGCAAAAAAAAAATGCAAGGACATAGTAGAATTGAGTCAGTAAAGTTGAATATAAATATTCATCCCTCAAATAATAAGCTTTTAGCATACCCATGGAACGTTAAGAAAAAGTTAACATGTAGATACCTGTAATAAATTTGGGGGGAAATATACCTTTTGTAGATCACATTCTCTGGTCACAAGCCATAAATTTAGAACTCTATAATGATAAATAACTAAAATTTTAAGTGCCTTAAATGTGAGAACCACATTTCTTGATACTATTAAGATTAAAGGAGAGATTTAAAAAGTTAAAACTACAGACTATCTAGAAAGCAATAAAAAACTGCTTTTTATTTCCAAACCATTACACACTATGACTCATACTCAAAGAAAAAACATAACCTTAAATTCTTTCTTAAAGAAATATGAAGAACAAAGGAGCTAAATAGTCATCTTAAGAAAGTCAGACAACAACAACTAAAAAGTAGAGAAGAGGAATTAAGATAAAAGCCCAGTTCATTGACCTAGAATAGCACAAAGGGCACACATACATTTTTAGGTTACTCGCTGTGCAAACTGAAATGTCAGCTGTTAGCAGATCAGCACGTGTGGAAATGGAGGCAGCATACTAATTCTTTGAAGGTCACTTTGACCCTGGTCGTTTCTTCCCTTCCAATTATTTATCTGCCTCAGATTCCTGTCTAGAAACTAAGTGGTCACATTGGGCAGTGGACCAGACAGGCAGGGGCAGGGTTTTTTCATGGCGTCATCCTGAGACAGGAGCAGATTTTGTAATCATGCACCTCGTCTTCAAACTCCAGCTCTAATAAAAATCCTCCTGGAAGAAGAGTCATGGGTCTTGGGAATGCTAAATCACCAGGGTGCGGGGGGTGAGGGGCAGGGACCCCTTTTTAAAAGAACAAGAAAGACTTCAAATCATAACTAGATCATAATTGTGTGATTTAGCAGTAATTATGTAAGAACAGAGAACATGTAAACCTCCTGTACTTATTATTGTATTTTCCTTTTCTCGTTTATCTTATCTTTCTAGAAGACTGGCAGTGTCAACAGCAGTTTGCAACTTCTGAGGCATAACAAAATAAAACCAATCCCAAGGTGGAAACATTGTCGTGTAGTGTTATAAGTTTGGGTGATCTTTATATTGCTACTGGTATTTGCTTTGTATTTTAAACAGAAAACCTTTGCCTTCCAGGACTGCCTCTGACACTGATCATTCATGTAATAAAAATAAAACTTCGGTTTGAATTAGCAACCTTAGTACATTTGAATTGCTTGATTTGTGTATGATATAGGGATCATGACTAGAGAGATTTTAATTGTTTTTCTGAAATTTTGTGAAACCAGTAAGAGAATAATCTTCCCTTAGGCTTTTCCTGTGAATTAAAGGGGGGTCACGAGTGTGTGAGTGTGTTTTCTTTGTAGGAGAAATACAAGTTTATTCAACATTTTTTATAAGATATGGGAGGAGGGGCCTTGAACTCTGGATGTCAGTCTCCTGTAACAATTCATAGCATATGCAATATATAGGTAGTAACAAACTTGTTTTAAATTCTAATTCTACTAATTGGAGTTTTCTGGGTTTTTTATTGATTTTTATTATTTTTTGTAAATACACAACAGTGGAATGCATTACAATTCTTATTACACATATAGAGCACAATTTTTGGAGTTTTCTGTTGTTGATATTTTTAAGGGATTCCACACTGACCCTTTTTAAATCCTACGAATTATGCATTTGATGTCCAGAAATAAAATTGCATTTGTGTATCCCCTGCCTTCTTATGTCATGTTGACTTTTCAAAAAAAAAAAAAAGTATGGCAATTGAGCTAAGCTTTCTCTTATTGATTAAATTGATTTTTTACTTTCAACAGAAGAGCTGGATCATTTTTCTTTTACTTACTTTTCATTTTTCTTCTGGTAATATTAAGCCCCAGAAAAGAAAGCAGCAGGAAAATGTAGTGTCTTTTAGAGCAAAGAACACAGTGGCTATGTTTCCACTTTCCTTTATAATTGTGTTGATGGGTTTCTTCCCACTTTTGCATTTATCCATCTAAACTCAAAGCCAGTTCACAGTAACTGTCAAATCTAGCCTCATTTCACATGACTTTAAAATGCAGGTGATAGATAGCCCTTCCTTACCTCTCTGCCTCAATTATCATATTTCAGAATTTTTTTTAATGCCTCTTAGGTACTCATTGGTAGCAAATGTTTGGAATATTGTGATACCCTTTGACTTTTATGAAGTTGCAAATTCTTACTCATCGTTCATTTCACTTTTTTTCATGCACTTTTATGGACTTTAAAATTTTTTACCATTAGGTTTTAAAAAGAGAATCTCATCTCACACTCTTGTCTTTGCTTTCTCTGTGCCTATCTGTAGGATGAATATAAGCCAGAAAAGGCCTTGTCCGAGGAGGACTTGAAAAATGCCGTGAGTGTGCATCACGCCCTGGCATCCAAGGCCACTGACTACGAGAAGAAGCCCAACGTCTTTAAGCTAAAAACTGCCGACTGGAGGGTCTTGCTGTTTCAAACTCAGTATGTGTCGTTGGTTTGGTTCTTACTTGGTTTGGGATTTGGTTTGGTTTGGGTTTGGGTTTTTTTAGGGTACTAGGGATTGAACTCAGGGGCACTCAACCACTGAGCCACATCCCTAGCCCTATTTTGTATTTTATTTAGAGACAGGTTCTCACTGAGTTGCTTAGCACCTCGCCATTGCTAAGGCTGGTTTGCACTTGAGATCCTCCTACCTCATCCTCCCAAGCCACTGGGATTACAGGCATGAGCCACCACACCTGACTTCGTTTTGGTTTTCTTCAGTTTGCTTACCACTGCTTTATGCTAAGGAATAGAATCAGGGTCTGTAGGGGAAATTTGTTGAGTTGTAGTCAAATGTCATGAACTGGTTTCGTTGGGGAAGACAACTGCCTAAGAAAATTAACACAAAAACATAGAGCCCTGAGTTCTAGTTTTTTGTGCACTATAAAGTAGCTCTGTGTCTTTTAGTAAGCTCTTTGCCATCTCTAGAGCTCAGTGTCCTCATTAATAAGATGTGAGAGTTTTAGTAGACAAGTTCTCTCATAACATGAGTAAAGTAGTCCAAGATTCAAATCACCATTTCCTAGCTTGAGGCACATAATTTTTTAACCTCTGTGAACCTTGGTGTGTAGCTGCTGTGGGTAATCATGTTTGTCTCATTGGGTCCTGGCGAGGATTCGATAAGTATATTAAGTGCCTCCCAGGTTGCCTGGTGTGGAGAAACTGCTCTGTAAGTGAATATCTTCATCCTGTTCCCTTGTTTCTTTGTCCTTCGGAACGCAAATCATATTGTGCATAAGGAAATGAGAGGGCCAGTGACAGACTTGAGATTAGTAGCAGAGCATTCCTCTTGAAGAATCCTGACTTGTGGAGTGAGGAACTTTGGGTTTTCAGAATGGAGCTTCTAGAGCAGGACAGGGTTAATGATTCGTGGATTGAGCCTAACTCTAGAATCACCTTCAACATCATATCATCAGCTGACCCCAACTAAATTCAAGTTTGACATCAAGATGGTACAAGTATCTATCTCTATGCCTTATCAAGGCAAGGTAAGATCAGGAAAAAAAAAAAAAGAGAAATGAGAGCAAGAGCCAGACCTCTGGAGGCTTATGGTCATTGAACTTGTGAAGGAGTAAAATTGCTGACATGAGGTGCTGTGTGAAAACAAGTGACACAGGGTTTTTGAATTTGGGACTAGGACATCCTACAAAGGGACTCATAACCAAATGTGTAAATAACAGCTATTAGGTGGAAAGGGTATTTTAAATTCTTCTGTTCTCTAGTATTTTTTATATCTGATATAATACCTAAGGAGATCTGGTTACTCAGGTAAAACCCATGCAAAAATTTGTCAGTTGGAGAGATTCAACTAGAAACACACATTGGCTCTACTGAGGAATTAATATGTAGCACAGTCTCAGGTTAGTGGGGTTCTTTTGGAGTAGTCAGTAAAGGAAGTGATTAAATGATTATTTCACCTTTTTGTTGGACATATGCATGGCGGATAATCTTTTCTGCTTCGTGACCATTTCTTTTCCTCATTTATGAAGTCACAGATATTAAGTGTTGTCAGTGAGGGGCTTTCTGGATATAATGGCATGTGAATTAAAAATATGATATCAAATGATTTCCACCTCCTCTCAGATGGACATTTGTTAGCATTCTTAAGCTCCACTTTATCTACCATAATTTCTCCCATTTTGAACGTATATTTTAACAATTTTTACTAAATGTACAGAATGGTGCATCTGGCCCCACGGTCCAGTTTTACAACATTCCTTCGTTCCAGAGCAGTGCCCTATTTTGTAGTCACCCTGCATTCACATCTCCAGTCCCAGACATCCGCTGATTCTACTTTTTGTCTCTGTACTATTGTTTCCTGGACTATTCATGTAAATAGAATACTGTTTATATAGATTTATCTCTCTGTTTTATCCACTCACTAGTTGATGGACACTTGGATTGTTTCCCTTTTTGATTCTTAGGAATAAGGAAGTCATGAAAATTGATATTCGGATCTTTGTGTAGCTTTATGTTTTATTTATCTTGGGTACCAACAAAGTAGTGGAATTGCTGTGGTGTATGATAAATTTATAGTTAACTTTTGAAGAAACTACCAAACTTTTCCAAAGTGGGTATGCCCTTTTACATTCCCTTCATCAATGTATGCTTCAGTCAGATTTTAAAATAAAATTATGTGAGTAAAAGAGATTAATTAAATCTTTAATTAACTTTTGGCCTAGGCTAGTTTCCAACAGAAAGTAGTTTAATGAATACATTTCTCTTTTTTTCCGTCTGTATCCTCAGGGCATAGTCATAGGCTTTGATGACCATAGATAGGTTTCAGGGTTCCAGTGCCTTCCACTGCCTGGTGACTGCTGTTGAGACTGTTAACCTCGAGTGAGGTTGTGTCAATGATTAATTGTACCAAGAATAAATGATTTCATATGCCATTTTATATCAGCAATAAGCAATGGGCAAGGTATGATGCACTTAGACACAGAATAGCCTGACATATTCATGGTTGTTTCTCATAGGAGTCCAGAGGAGATGCAGGGGTGGATAAGCAAAATCAACTGTGTTGCAGCTGTCTTTTCTGCACCACCGTTTCCAGCAGCCATTGGTTCTCAGAAGAAGTTTAGCCGCCCGCTTCTGCCTGCCACTACGACAAAATTATCTCAGGTAACTCATTTGATGTTGCTGTAGACATGGAAAAAAGTCCTTTGTAATTTTGCTAATATTTGTATTTGAATAATGCTCTCCATTATTGGAAGGCAGATGGAAGACCTTGCCCCATGTTGTATAAATGGGGCAAAATGTAATATACCAGTATATTTTACACTTGAGTTATACTTTCCTGGTTTGTTTTTTGTTTTGTTTTGTTTTTGTTTTTAACTGGCTAAAACTGGGGTGATGTCCAGGCTTGTTAGCAAGCTTTTCATCCATTGATTATTAGTTCATTTAATTGAGCATTTACCATATTTGGTGCTAGAGATATAAAAAACATTTTCAGGGATTCCCCTTTTCACAGTAGAGCAGGAAAGGCCTTCCTTACCCCTTAGAAGAGGTGAGTGGAATATTTGCATTTTCTAAGCTAATTAAGACAAAGTGCATCAGAGCTCTGTTCCACATGTATTTACATAAAATTCTAAAAAAAGAAAACATTTGTCAAATTTTGTCGTCTTTTCATAAAAACTCTGTTCTGAGGCTCTGCCAATTTTAACCCTCTCTGCAGTACCCCTGTTGACATTGATCAGTCAAGGATTTTGGAGCTACTTTGATGTCTCTGTGGAGCTCTTATTGCTGTAACAGTAGAAATCACTTAATCTGGTTACGATCAATGAATGCTTTGGTATTAACTAGCTGTTGTTCTCCTCCTTCATAGCACAATTATCAATGACATTTATTTAGTAAACATATATTATGTCCCTACTGTATAGCAAAGATGGTTTTAGGCTGTGGATCTAGAAAGACAGATGAAACCCAGATCCTCTCCTGAAGGATGACAAATACAAATGAAGCATTTGAGAGCTTCCCAGGAAGGGTTAAGTCCAGAGGCCATGTGGGCACAGGGTAGGACAGCTAGGGTGGCCTTGGAGGTGAAGAAGAGGTGTGATATATTCCATGAAGCTTAAAGGATGAAAAATAGGTGAGGTGTGAGATGAGATAACAGGATGATCCGGCAGAGCTACAGAGGAGAGACACTGGGGTGCAGGAGCCACACCAAGTTACCAACATGACCTGAGTGGTCTTGAGAAAAAGTCAGAAGTGGACCTCTGTGGAGGTAGGCAAAATCATGAAAGGCTTGTCTTAGGCCGTTCTGCCATAACAGAGTACCCCTGACTGGGGACTCTATAAAGAAAATTAATTTACCTCCTTACAGTTCTAGTGGCTGGGAAGTCGGATATCAAGCCTTCTTGCAGAGTCTTAACGTCACCGAGGGCATGACTTGGTGAGGGGCATGAGTAGATGAAAGTCGAGCCCTCAGCCTCAGGTTTAGAGCAAACTGCTCCCATGATAACTAACCCACTCTCAACGGGGGGTGGCCCCTCATGGCCTAATCACCTCTGAAAGGTCCCACCTCCAATACTGTCTGGAAGGTAAACTTCAATATGAGTTTTAGGGGGAACTTTCAAACCATTGCAGGCCTATTTGTCATGTGCATGATTTTGGAAGCTTCCGTGGTTCCTGGATGTCTTTAGGACAGTAGTTTTTAAGCAGAAAAGTAATGTAATCATATTTGCGCTTTAAAAATTATTCCATTGCCATATGATAAAAGCATTAGAAGAAGAAAGATACTATGAGAAGCAGAAAGGCCCCCCAAGGACCATCTAGTAACCTAGAGGAAAAATAGCTAAGTTAGTTGTCAAAGAAATTGGTAGAGTGGAAGTTCATGAGAGCACAGAACAGATGTTCTCATGGCTAAAGTGGAGGAAGAAGGGCGTCGCCCAGGACTGCAGTGTCTGACCTGGCTCGAGGAACCTCTCCTCACCAGCTCCTGCTTTCCTCCCTGTTGTTTCTTTCAGAGTCTTTTCCTGAATCCTTTTCTTCTTTCTTTCTGTAAGTGATGTAGCCCTTAGGCTCAGAAGCAGACTGAGATAACTGAGAAATAACTTTTAAGAAAAGTTATTTAGGTTAAAATAACCAAACATGGAGGATGTTATGCTAAGAAGGAGAAGATTAGGTAAAATAAAGACAAAACCTAGCTGATAGTAGATTTCAGTGAGGTCCTTGGGTAAACTTGGCAAGAGCGATTTTGGTGGACTGATAGAAACAGACCATACTGGTCGTCTTTGAGAGAGGGACGGAAGATAGTGAGTAGGTGAAGGAAGAGAACATGCGCTAGTCTTGCCATAAATTACAAAAATCAGAAAGACTAGTAGTAAGAAGAGAGACACATGGCTTCTGGAAAAAGACTCTTGTGTTTTCCACCCTCATTCATAATTATCATTAACATGTACTGGTTGGTTATTACATAAGCATTATTATGACTGTATAGTTCCCATGTGACCCAAAACACGGTTTTGAGAGTAGAAAGGACCAAGCCAGCTCAACTCACAGGACAGAAAGGCATTTAGTTTTCAAAGATAATAGTTACAGCATTCTAAGAGAAAGGAGGCAGCGTTTACTGATGACCAGAAAGAATGTTGGCCAGATTCTCCGTCTGTCCAACTGAAGTACAAACCCAAAAGGCAAATCCTTTCCCAGCTTTAAATCTGGGTACTCAGCAACATATCACATAAACAGTCACAGGCAGAGCACATGAATAGCAAACCATATTCTATGAAGTTAGGAGGAGAAAATGGGAAGCAAAAAAATGTCTTCAGATGTTGAGTTTTGTTCATTCACTTCAGTGTGGGACTTTGCAATAGTGATCATTTTTTAATAGATCATTTTTAATAAATCTCATGATTTATTCTGTGAAAACAGCAGGAGAGAAAGTGACTGAGGTAAAGAGGGGCTTTAATGAGTGTGTCACTCACAGGAACATTATGGAGCTTAGAGCAACATCAGAGTTCTTCCTTGTTCTTCTCTCACTATAGAATGTACTGTTTTATTTTCTTCCTATTTTTCAAAAGGCCCTGCTGTCCTATTTGTATATGAGCTGTCTCCCAGTAAGACACATGCATGTGGAAATGTGTTCATCTCTATGTGTGCTTCTGCCAGGAAAACGGGCAACAAGCACCTTTATCAAAGCAGACTCTTTTTAAAAAAAAAACAAAAAAAAAAAAAAAAACAGTGTTTTACAAAAAATAGAATGCATAATCTTAAAAATATTTTTCTTCATTTTGGATGTGCATCCCCAAAGATACAAACAAAGGTGGGGGGAGTACATGTTTAGTGATCAGTGATTGAATTTTAGGTAGGAAAGCAATAGCAAAGAGAAGCATCCACCATTGTCACCTCAGACAAGACAGCTGTGCTGTTTAGGGACTTCTAGAGAAAGGGATGTGATGAGTATCTCCCTGCCACCACCGGTTAAATCACCAAGACTTCCATCTGGAAAGGAGGAGATCTAGAATGTGTTTAAGGTTTAAGGTTTCCATATCATTTCGTCACCCAGGTCATCATTTCATGTACTAACAATTTTTTTAAAAAGATGTTTCACCTCTGAGAGTAACAGGACAGTATGGGAAGCACAGTGTAAAACCACGCGTGTGGTGCTAAAGAGAGGTGAGTTGGCATGCAGCTGGCGCAGGGGAGTGGTGTGCCCTCCACATCAGTGGACACTCTTGCAGATGTCTGTGCAGAGTCCCAGCACACCTCCAGCGCGTCCTGAAGCAAGCGTCCCTCCTCTCTCCAGCACTTCACAGACTGTTCTCTCCTTCAGCCTGGTCACCCTCACTCTCGGCACTGTTGATGTTTTGGCCCAGATAATTCTTTATTGTGTGAAGCTGTCCTATGAACTGCAGGGTGTTTAGTAGTGTCCCCAGCCTCCACCCAGTAGATGGCAACTGCATCTCCACTAATTTTAATAACCAGAAACGTCTCCAGACCTTGCCAAATGTCCTCTGGGGTCAAAGCTACCCGCTCCCACTGAGAACCACTGCATTGACCCAGTGGTCCTGCATCTGTGAGACTGGCCACCTTTCCTTTCTCCATGCCCCCACAGGCTGGCCATGATTCCCCCAAATGCCAGGACCTCTTGGGTAGTTTCCATTTATAAAATATATGTTACAGCACTGTGAGTACCCTGCTGGGTGGGTGGGTGGGTGGGGGACAGTGTTCAGGAAAAAAATCCAACTTTCAATTAAAAGATTGTTTGGTTCTTTGAAGACATGTTGTTCATCACCCTGTCATTTATGAGTTTCTCTTTAATTTATTCTTGTCTGCTGTCCAAAACATATTAGCCTCAATTATTAAAATTGATTATTGTCAGTGCAGTGTGGTTCTTCCTGAACAATTCCGCTGTGTAGGAGTCACCTTCTCTGGTTGTTTTTCATGGCAGTGTTGCCAAAGCACATTTTTTTCTTCTTCTGTTGAGGGTGGAGAAACTAATCTGAAAACTCTAAGATTTTTTTCTTCCTCCTTCTAGAAACACAGAATTATGATTAGCCCCCTCTGGGATCTATTCAGGGCCACTTTTATACCCACCAAAACAGACATTTTCAAGCTGGAGCATTCATAAGAATTATCTGGGGGCAGTATAATATCCCGCCAGGTGGTTCAGATGCAGCCTGATGCCTGGAAATTTGCTGTTTCTCTCTAATATGCTCCAGATGACTGACCAGCAGACAGTGCAGATCACACTGAGGCACACGACACCGTCGTTTCTGCCTCCCTTAGGTCTGTGCTGCTCCTCTGGACACTTCAGAGGAGTGAAGTCACTCATGAAGTCACCTTCCTAATGGATACCTAGTTCCAATTTCTTTGAACTCCAGCTGTTCTCTTACAAAAGTTTGAACCAGTGAACTCAGTATTAACTCTTTGGGTGCAGGTCAAGAGAGAACACTGTTCAGAAACAAAGTGGGTCCTGTGCTCCCCCCTCACAGGGAAGTAACCCCACCCCTCCTCCTGTCCTGTGCTGGACCTCAGGTAGTGCTGAGGAGGAGCATAGGGGCAGGCTTTGGGAGCCTGTGCTCTTACAGTCGCCTCCCTCATTGGCCAGAACCGCACCCCTGTACCCCAACCTGTGTCACACCTCATCACCAAGCCCTGTCCGTTTACCTCTTAAATATCTTTCACATCCTCCCCGACTTTCCTTACTTCAAGCTTTTGTCATCTTAGACCTATGTCACTGGTTTTCTTTTTTAATCATTCACTTTATCAATACTAAATATTTGAGAGATGTGTATTTTTAAATAAAATATACCACATGTCCCAGATAGTAGCATTTCACAGTGCTTAGATTTTAAAAAATAATTAAAAAACTGTTCCCAATGCCTAAGAACTCCATTTAAAAACTTACAGAACTTGTAATCAAATTCAGCACAGTTATGGGATACAACGGTTTTTATAAAAATTTAAAATTGTATCTCAATACTGATTTTTAAAACTCTCCCCATTGGGTCATTTTGGCAAGCTGTACACGCCCCACTTCATAAAACTCTGGCCAGGACTATTTGTCTAGCCACCTGAGGTCCCTCTCCCTCCACTCAGTTTCTGCCTCCCTTAGTCTGCGCTGCTCCTCTGGATACTTGTACCTCATGAAGTCACCTTCCTGAGGTGCTCTCCTCCAGGCCACCCTTCCCAGTGTTGATGAAAACAGGTCCAACTATGGCACTTCCTTAATGTACTCGCTTGTGCCAGTAAGATACAGTCCAGGCTCCTTGGCATGACCTTACTTGGTGACCACACTATTCCCGAGTAGCTAGATTTCTTATTCATTTCTTAGAGTCTGTGTTTAATATACATTAAACATTCAGTAAGACAGTTAGTGAATCATGTGGAAGTGTGTTTAAGGACACTGTGTTTAAGGTCTTTAAAGTGCGTTAAACCTGAAATGATTAAAGAAAATCCTTAGCGATGGTGTTTTCAGCAATCTCTCTCTCAAATGGACTCATTGGCAAATGTTCTTTATTCTAAAATCCTTACCTCTTGGGTTTAATAGAGCTCAAGCATTACAGATTTTACTTGTAATTTGCACTGCCTTCTAAATCATCTTTCTCCTTGAAAACACAGAAGAAATAATATGAGCACCCTCTTTCTTTAATCCATGTATTCAGCTACTGTTTACTGAGGGATAGGTCCAGTGAGCTTTGTAGAAATGGGTGCGACAGTGGTCTCAGCTCCCAGTGTAGAAGCATAAGGTCTTTGTTGGTGCCATGTACTGTTGTCTCTGCTGAGTTCCTTGCTAGACACTGGAAGATTAGAGGAAAAGGGAAAATGATCCTCCTTATTTTGCCTTCTTGGAGTTTGTACTCAGTCAAGGAAGTAAAATTCACACTTAGGTCAGAGTGAGTTTTGTGGCAAATAGGTGGCATACACATTCAATGCTGCAGTAACTGGAAAGAGATTGCAAGACCTGGAGCATGCAGGGTGCGTAAGACCTGCGTGTAGCCCGCGAGCTGGAGAGCTGTGGCAGGAGGCATGGGGGGTGAGGGATCTGAGGAGCTCTGAGGGTGCTGAGCTCAGCACCAGCACACTGAGAAGCAGAAGGTTTTGAAGCTTGGGTGTGTGTTTAAGAAAGGGTCCCCAAGTGAATTTAAGATTAGAAGTTGGGAGGATGCACTCCTGCTGTGTTGGTGGCCTGGAGCAGGTGCTTGAGTTCTCTGGATCTCTGTTTCATTCTAAATGGCAGTGGCCAGGGTCTCCTTTAGGAGGCTTCCAATTCCTCGGACTCTGTGTAAAAGAAGGTGCAAAGGTAGGTGTTTGTGGGATATAGTGTGACGTGTGTCCATGGTGGAGCAGTTGAGTCAAGCTAATTAACGTGTCTGTCAAGTCATGTACTGATTTTTTTCTGATGAGAACATTTGAAACCTTTTAACAATTTTATATTTACTTATTTATTGGTATTGGGGATTGAACCCAGGGGTGCTTAATCACTAAGCTATATCCCCAACTCTCTTTATTTTTGTATTTTGACACAGGGTCTCACTATGTGGCTTAGGGCCTCACTAAGTTGCTGAGGCTGGCCTTCAACTTGTGATCCTCCTGCCTCAGTCTCCTGAGTCACTGGGATCATAGTCTATGCCATCACACCCATCTCAGCAATTTTGAAATATATAACACGTTATTATTATTATTAACTGTAGTCACCATGATATACAAAAGAATTCTGGAACTCATTCTAATTGAAATTCTGTATTCTTTGACCAGTATCTCCCCAATCTCCTTGTCCCTCCATCTTTTGTCACCACCATTCTGCTTTCTACAGCTAAAAGCTTGATTTTTTCTTACGTATTTCACATATAAGTGAGATGGTACAGCATTTGTCTTTCCGTACCTAGCTTCCTTCACCTTACATAATTTCCTCCAGGTTCATCCATGCTGTGATGTAGGACAGAATTTCCTTCTTTTTAAAGGCTAAGTAGTATTCCATTTTGTATACATATCATATTTTCATTATCCACACATCTGTTGTGGGTCACTTAGGTTGTGACCATATCTTAGCTATTGTGAATAATGTTTTAGTGACCACGGTGCACACATATCTCGTCTTCTTGGAATGTTTGTTCGCATTTAAAAATGAATCTTGTCATCTTTCTTTCACTCCATGTGTTCTTGCTACCTCTTCTGTTCATCTTTGCACTAATGTTCTCTGCTTTTTAAAACTTTACTTTTTTTAATATTTATTTTTTGGTTGGACACAATATCTTTATTTATTTATTTTGATGGGGTGCTGAGGATCAAACCCAGGGCCTCACATGTGCTAGGCAAGCACACTATGGCTGAGCCACAACCCCAGCCCAAAACTTTACTTTTTTTAATATATATCAATATTTTTTATGGCTTTAGACTTGAATTCTTTTTTCTTATTTGGCTTTTAAGATGTGCACTATTACAGAAATCCCTAAGATATTATATGTGACTTTATAGTTTCTGGATATCTTCCAAAAAATTTACAAGGATGTTATATAACCTTAATTTGGCATTCATAATTATTAATTATCTGGTAGTCTTTTAAGTTATTCCCCTCATTCTGTAATAAAACTTTTATATTCTAAAATTATGTTGGTGTTATGTAAAACATGCTTATTGCCTCCTTTAATCAGTTCTTCATTTGCATTTATCTTTTTGTTTCTTATACATATAAAATTTATAATCAAGAATTTGGATAATTTACATGTGGAAGTGGAATAGTAAGCTGCCACCCAACTTTAGGCATTCAAGAGAATTCCAATGTCTTTGTCTCAAGACTATTTTTAAAATTCTGCAAGAGGATTCAGTATCATATCTTTTTAGGTCACTATTGCCAAGGAGGTATAAATGGCACCCCTAGAATGAAAGTTCTTTGACATAGGACCAACCGTATTACCTTGGCAGATGGAACCTATAATTATGCTGTTCAGGCAGCAGTCAATGAGTGCATTTTAATTGAATGATTAGTTCAGGTCAGTGAAGTTGAAGGAAGTGAGAGACCCTCTGCTACTTTGGAGGGAGAAAGCATAGCACATTTTTTAGAATAGCATATGATAAATTTTAGAGAAGAAGTATTTCTTTGCCGTACTGCTTATCTCAAAAAAAGAAAGAAATTTGCAGACAGACGCTCATTCACTCCGAAAGACGGGCACTCAGGCAGTTATTGCTGAGCGGGCATACTTGAGAAGCCAAGTTATGTGGTGCCCAGGCTAGGCACTTAGCTGTTCATATGGTGACTTGCCTAATCTGGTTTCTCTTTAAAGGTCTTGTCCCAGCTTGGTGACATTGCATTCCTTAGCAGGCTCTGAAGCCATTTGGTTTTGTAATCAGAGGCCTGGTTGGGGAGGCCCAGTTAGGATGGCCTGGGTTGCCATCCTGGGAAGAATTACACCAACACTGGCGAGTTGGAAGGATGTGCCTCCTGCTGAGGCACCTTAGACTGTTCTGGTAAATGAAAGTTAGTCACCATAAGGGATTTTTAAAGGCACTCTACACATTTTTTTTAATTGATTTCTTCTCTGTGCACTAAATGGACACAATTTCCTGCCAGGAGGAACAACTGAAATCTCATGAAGGCAAGCTGAAGCAGATCACCACTGAGCTGGCTGAGCACCGCTCCTATCCCCCTGACAAGAAAGTCAAAGCCAAGGAGGTCGACGAGTACAAGCTGAAAGATCACTATCTGGAGTTTGAGGTATGCTGCACCGGCTGCTCACAAATGATTCTGTTACAATTGGTCTGTGGGAGGAAAGTTTTTAAGTTACCATGACTGTGAGGCGCTCGCCCCAAGCCTGCCTTTAACCTGGGAGCTCGGTACTAACACCAGTACCTAATGCCATCCTGGTCCTGATGGCCGTTTGTGTTTGGGATTCCACTTACATGCCAAACTAACATCAGAGAGTGACTTCCAGTTTATACGTTTAACAGCAAGCAGCATGCACACTTGGAATTGTGTAAATGCTGTGATGTCAAAAAAAAAAAAACTGCAGAGGACTTGTCAGGGTGCACAGCTGCTCTCTGTGTCCATGGGTCTGTTGCTGCATAGTTTGAGTCCAAGAAAAGTATAGCAGAGGAAATGAGTGACAGGGTGATGGGAAGCACCAGCTTTTCCCCGCATATTCTTGTCATTAGGCGACACCAGGGTATTGTTCCTGTACTACTCACCACCCTTCAGAAGAGGATTCTGGCTTGCCGCACACTGGTGTACAACAGCAAGTGTGGTTATTAGGAAGAATGGTGAGGATCCACGTGATGTGACGCAGAAAGGCAGAAAAATTAAAAGCAAGCTGAAAGCAATATAGTTCCAAATGGTTCCTTTGGCCAAGTTTTCTCCCAAATTAGTGTTAGAATCCTCCATTTCATCACCTCAGCCACCATCGTTAGACACTTAAGGTATCTTTGTACCCCCTCACTGGCCAAAAAAAAAAAAGATGTTACAAATATTTTTTCCATTGGATGTGCTGAATCTGTTTGTGGCTCTTCATGTTTATTGCAAGTCTAGACCCTTTATTTCCTCCTTCCTTCTCCTTCAGTCCCATCTGACCATCCTTTTTTCTTCTCCCTAAATACACCTGTATACCTCCACTCATCTACTCCTTCTACCTCGAATGCTCTTTCTATCATCTTCTGCAAGTCCTGCTCCTCTTTCAAGGAGCAGCCCAGATCCTCCTAGCCAACCTGCTCTGGACCTCCAGCTGGGTTAATCTGCAGTAACACTTGCCCCAATTTGCTTTGTGATAAAGTTATGTTGGCCTGTCTCTGTAGTGGATCCCACATCCCCCTAAATAAGACTTTGAGCTCTTAAAGAGCAGGGACCTCAGGTTCATTTTCAGCCTATGCCTTGTCCTTGCTTGTTTAATCAGACAGGATTTCATAGAAGCCTTCCTGAGTTAAAAAAAAAAAAAATTCTGTCATCAAGTGTGGCATTAGATCTAACAGATGGCACTTTCATCACAGATCCAAATGATAGTTTTCTCCATGGTCAAGGAAGTCATCATTCTGGTCAGATGACTATCCCAAGAGGAATCTTTCTTTAGGTAAAGGTATAAGTTTGCTGGCAAAAACTTTGGAAGCCTTGCAGCAAAAAAGACTTGACAAAAATATTAAAAAGAAAAAAAAAAACAAAAAACAAAGTAGTTCATCGTTCCCCAGACTTGTTCATTCTTGGGAAATGAGAGTTCTCAAAAAGCAATCATTATTCTTCACACTTCTGGAGTATCTTTAAGCCATAGACTGTTTGGCTTCACACATTGTAATTAAATTTCCCAACACCTCCATCCCCTGCTTCCAGTACTCAGCACCTTGCTTTGAGCCCTTGACTCTGAAGGGAAGAGCCTGTCCCCAGAAGGCGGGGCAGCCGTGAGATGATGGAGACGTTGCTGCTGCTTGGTGCACACCACCTGCTTTTGGATCTTCTGTGGTGCCCTTTTTCTGGAAATGCAGCCCAGCAAGCTCCAACAGTTTTGTTTCCTGACCTGAAGTGAGACCCTGCTTTGTGGGATGACGTCCTGCTTTCATCAGATTGTGTCTCCAGGAGCATGAAGACTGCATTCCAGGCAGAGTCAGGCTCACACTCCTAGGCACAGCATGTCAGGCTGGTGTCCAGCTGCATTAATCTGTATCGACCAGGAAGGTAGAAGGTGCTTCACTTTGTACAGATGTCATCTACAAAGGTTTTCATATCAGCGCTGCTCTTTAGAAAGCGAGTCATTGTTTTTCACTAAATGAAAACTGGAGTAATGTATCATGATGAGGCTACTTTTTATTTCAGCCACCAGAATTGGTCTCCTATGAGTGCTTGTGGCAGTCCTTATGTAGCATCCTTTGCTTTATAAGCATCATACCAAGTGGTTGCTTCATTCCCCAAGTACAGGGAGACAGCTATTGGCCAGTGTGTGTGTGTGTTTTATGCAGAGCTGTATCCTCAGATCCTAGAGTATTGACTTAGCACTTGATACAGACTGAGAGACTTAATGAAATTTTATCGTTATGTACAAAAGAAAAATCACAGGAAATAATTCTCTGGGAATTACTTAGTATTAGTTATTTTTACAGGGCCAGAAGCTGCCATGAAAACAAGTCTGATAAGCAGGTGAGAACAGATGGCAGTGTCTGGAGTTCAGGGGCTTCAGTGTGCAGTGACAGAGAAGACTAGGCCTGTCTGCATGTTCAGCTGTGAGGAATTGAAACCTGGATTAGCTCTCTAGCCTGTTGCTTAGTAGGTCATCATCATGAGACTCCCCTGGTTTCAGGACAATTGTTTGTTGAGTCTTGATAACGAAAAACATTTTTATTTTGGTGCTATAGTAAGCTGTTAGTGATAACACCAGGGCTGTTTCTAAGTTATGCATTTCAGTGGTTTCTGTCCCAGGTTGCTTTGAGTACAGACAGTTCTTCATGCCGAGCCACATTTTCCAAACCCCCACTCACACTCAATCATTAGAAATTCCAGTAAATTCACAGGGTTAGGGCTATAAGAAGATGACATAGACTATAAGAGGACTTCCGTGTTAACCTCATTTTTAGGTCTCATTTTTACCTAAAGCAGCAAATTTCACTCAGAATGGGCTGTGACTGACCAGACTGGCACTTTTCTCTTCTTTGACTATTAATTAGTGGAGGAGGGGTAGATGGTTTGTTTGTTTGTTTTAAATAAATTACCCATAGTTGTGGCTGTTATTTTCTCAGATGAGTTCATTTGGAAGCTAATCTTACTTTGGAAAGACTTGTTAAGCATCACAGGTCTAAATTGAGAAACTCACTGTTAATCTCGCAAGTTTATGAAAATAAGTATAAAAATTGGCCTCATATCTTTATAAAGTATTTCTACTTTATTTAGCTCCTATTTTACTTTTAAATGTTTTCATCATCATCATACTTCCGGTATATTAGGGAATGTGTGGTTTGTATCACAGGGGGTTGTTTGTATCAGATTTAAAACTTACAAGACTCCAGGCAACCGAAACACAGTAGGTTGAACTGTGCTGAGAAAATCCTCAATGCCGACTGCACCATGAAAAGAAAATCCCCTTGATAGCACTATCCTTGGCCCCAATATTTGGGCTTTGTTTCTTCAGCTTTAAAAGCAATCATGATTAGAAAGGGAAAATGATGTTTATTCCAAGATATTTTTCACATGTTTGTAATAGAGTTGAGTAATCCTTCTGTTGAGCTAGACTGAGTAGAGGCCGGGAGAAGGGGTAGCAGGCCAAACCTATTAACATGACTGATCTACTAAAGAGGGACTCCTGAGGGTCAAGTTGATCCAGGGCTCCCAAGAGTCTTTGTAGAGCTCACTAGAAAAGAGTGATCAACACAGTCCAGACGAGTCATAGGTGCCTAAGGTCACTGTGTTTTCTGTGGCCAGCACAATGTTGTATCTGTTTTAATTCATTTAGAAAGATAAGCTGTCTTCTTCCCATTACTCCCTGTTACATCATATCCACAGCTTTCCACTTTGTGTTAATGGCCTGACCACTGAAGGCATTGAGTTTGTAAACCCTATTATGGAGGCTGCAGCCAGTTGTGTTAGTTGAGTATTATTTGGATTTTTCTGCATAGGCTTTGGAATCAACTCTTCTATTATAGTTCGAATGGGTCTCATAAGTTCATGAATTGGAAACTTAACCCCTAATACAGCAGTGTTGGGAGGTGGTGCCTGATGAGTTGAACCCTCTCTTGCCCACTCTTGTTCTCTCACGCCCTCCATTATAGGATGATGCAGCATGAAGACCCTCCTCAGATGTCCAGACTATGCTCTTGGACATCCTAGCCTCTGGAACCACCAGCCAAACCATTCTTTGTTCTTTATACTCAGTCTCAGTTTTTCTGTTGTAACCACATAAAACGGACTCGAAAATTGTTACTGAAAAGTGGAACTATTTCTATAACATCTGAAAATGTGGAAGTGGCTTTGGAACTGGGTACCAGGTAGAGGCTGGAACAGGTTTTTTTTCCCTCCCCTCCCCTCCTCCTTCCCCCGATCCCCTTCCTCTAACCTATTGGTCTTCCTTCTATTAATTTCTTTTTAATGGTAGCATTATAGTTAGACATAAAAGTTTAATTCATTGTGATATATTCATCCATGCACATAACATAGTTTCGTGGATTTCATTCTACAGTTCCTCCCCTTTCCCATCCCTCCTTCCTCCCTCAATCTCCTTCTTTTCCACTGTTCTCCCTTCTGTTTTCATGACATTCCTCCCACCCCCGCTTTCTTTAATTCCCTTTTTCCCCCTAGCTTATGCAAATGAGAAGAAACATTTGACCCTTGACTTTCAAAGTCTGGCTTATTTCACTTAAACTGATGTTCTCATCCATTTGCTTGCAAATGACATGATTTTATTGTTTTATTTTGGGCTGAGCAAAACACTGTTGCTTGCATGCATATATATATATATATATATATATATATATATCACATTTTCTTTATTCATTTGTCTAATGATGTACAATCTTGGTTAATTCCATGATTTGACTATGGTAAATTATGCTGTTATAAGCTCTGGTATGCATGTATTGCTATAATATGCTGATTTTAGTTCTTTTTGATAAATACTGAGGAGTAGGATTGGTGAGTTCATTCCTAGTCTTTTGATGAATCTCCATACTGCCTTCCAAAGTGGTAACTAATTTACAGTCCAACAAAATGTATAAGTATACATTTTTTCCCCATGTCCTCATCAGCATTTATTG